TATGAATGTAATATGGAATACCTCGGTTTTGACTAAACTAAATGCCGCCCCCTATCGAAAACCGGCTAAACTTATGCTTGTTTGCCATTTTTATTGTAGGCAATCTACCCCGCGCCGTTTTGGTATGGTTTTGGTTCTTGAGGTATGCATATGTGAATTTCGCGTCTTGAAAAGTTTAACACGTAAGTGAATAGGCAGGCATAATTTTTTTTTTTGCATGTTTTTATTTAAATATTTGTTACGATGCCACTGTATATAAACTAAAGTTTAAGATGACGTTGTACTTGTTTAGATTTTTGTTAAGATAGCCTAGGTCTAACCTGAAATATTGGTGATATAGGTTGTTGATAATATGGAATACTAGTATTCCATATTTACACTACGTTTTTATTTTTTTAGGGTGCCACGAAAAACTGAACGTCCGTCTTGCAATAATAGAAGAAAGCAATACAAGGAAGAGGACATGGCTAGGGCTATCCAGGCAGTGAGAGAAAAAACAATGGGATATCTCAAGGCATCCAAAACCTATAGGGTTCTTCGTATAACGCTCTTTCGTCTGAGTCAAATTAACACAGTTCCACTAGATAAGGCTGCAGCAACCAAGCTTTGGGATCAGAGCTAGTTGATTACATTTTAAAAATGGAGTCCAAATTTTACGGGCTCACAATGACAGATCTGAAGCGCATGGCTTATCAGTTGGCCATAAGGAACAAAATCAAATACCCATTTTCTACATCTGGATTAGCAGGCAAAGCCTGGATTGATTTGTTTTTAAAGCGACATCCAAAATTGTCAACAAGGAAGCCAACGGGGATATAATTTGCCAGAGTTGCAGGTTTTTGTAAAGAAAGAGATGCCGGCTTTTTTGACCTCCTTGAAAAGCAAATGCCCTATTCCCTGAACAACGTTTATAATGTAGATGAATCAGGGTTAACAATTGTCCAAAGTAAAGTATCATCAGTAATAGGGCTGAAAGGCAAACGTCAAGTTGCTTCATTAACATCAGCAGAGAGAGGGGCTCTGATTACAGTTATTTTTTGTATGAGTGCGGCTGGCAACTTTGACCCTCCCTTGGTTATTTTTTCTAGGAAAAATATAAACATTCAGCTCATGAAGGGAGCTCCTCCTGGGTCCGTAGGAATTGCACATCCATCCGGTTGGGTACAGTCCCATATTTTCACCCAGTGGTTCCATCACTTTATCCAGTACACCAAACCAACTGAAGAAACCCCCCTCCTGTTATACCTTGACGGCCATTACAGCCACACTCGCAATATTGACGTTATCGGCCTTGCAAGGGAAAACCATGTTAACATTTTATGTCTGCCTCCTTACTCGACGCACAAGCTCCAGCCTTTGGATAAGTCATTTATGGGGCCATCTAAAGTTTATTATAGTGAACAAATTCGTATTTGGATCCGTCAAAATCAACGGGCTCTTAGTTCTTTTGATATAATGGAGTTATTTGGTAGAGCTTACGAAAAAGTTCAGACATACACAATAGCGCACCACTGGTATTTACCCTTTTAATACGAATGTTTTTTCCGAATCTGACTTCATTGATGCGGAACAAGAAGCAGCGAAAAGAGGAATTATCATTAACATTCAAGAAGTAAAAACAACAAAAACTTCTACTACCTCTATCGATAAACCTTCATGCTCTAAAACATCATGCGAAGACAATGCACCTGGCCCAATTTAAGCTGCTGACCAAGATCAAGATGAAGATGCTCAAGACCAAGATAAAGATGACCAAGGCCAAGATGAAGACGTAGATTCAACCCAGAAATTTGTTTCACCGTTCGAAATATCTCTAGTCCCAAACACAATCCGCAAAAAAACCAACAGGGACGCAAGACAATTGGATATATTGTGATTACCTCGTCGCCTTACAAAAATAAACTAAATGAGTCAATAAATAGACAAACTGAAAAGGAGGCAAAATCGTGTGGCGTTAAAAGAAACTTGTCTTCAGGAAAATCGTTGAAACAAACAAAAGATTTTTAAAAACAGGAGAAGTCAAAGTACAAAATGAAACGTCAAAAGAATGCAGTTTCTGCTGATGAATCTGGGGATTCAAGCGAAGATGTAAAAATTGACGATTCTGACAACGATTTGGAAGATATGCCGGGACAACTGAAACCGAATGAGGACGATGCTCATTGCATGTTTTGCGATAGTTCGTTTTCTGCTGATAAGAAAGGAGAACTATGGGTCCAATGTTTAATGTGCTTAAAATGGACTCATAATGAGTGTGGAGGCGCCGAAAAAGACGAATATATTTGTGACTGGTGCAAATAATATGTAGATACATAAAATATTCCATATTTCCCCCACCTTTTCTAAGGTGGGAATTTTGTAGTTTTTTTTTCTAACTTGTTTTTTGAAAAAGTGTTTAAGATAATTACACATTTGCTTCTACATTTTAATGTCTAATTGCCTAAAGTACCTTTTCCCTAAATTTGGCTTAAATCTATTCACTAACAATTTTTTTTTTATTTACCAATCAAAACGGTATTCCATATTTGCACCTTTTCCTCTAAAAATACTCAGTAAAATAATTTTTTTTTCAAAATTTTTCCCAAAAGGGGTGGTTTGTTACAAAAAATAAATACCAAATTAAAAATTAAAAAATAAATTTTCAATTACTTCTATCTTCTCTGCTCTTTGGTTTGTTAGAATACACTCCAGACTATTCGCGCCTTTTTATAGATAGTTCAAAACGTAGTTTAAAATTACAAATCGGTAACAAATATGACTCAATTCACATTGGTCATTCTACTGCCATTAAAGAGCAGTGGCGACTTGTGGGGGGGGGGTGGTTTACAGTGACAGAATATAGGTATCAGTACAGATGTATGAAAAACTTTCATTGTTTTAGAAAGTTTAAAATATACCTTTTTAAAACACTGAGAGTTTTTTTACCTATATCTGTACCGGGATCTATATTCTGCTACTGTGAACCCCCAAAATTTTGGTAACGAGTCGCCCCTGTTAAAGAGGAATATGAAACAATAGCACTAGTTTTTAAAAAAATTAAATACGAGTACGAAGAACATCATTGGGAAATTTGTGTTGATTTAAAAATGGTAAACTTTCTCCTGGGACAGCAAAGTGGGTACACAAAATACCCCTGTATTTAATGTCTTTGTGATAGCACAGATAAAAATCACCATTTGATTAACATAAATTGGCATTTATGAGATATTATGGTTCTAAGAAAACAAAACGTAAACAACAAACTTTTGGTTAGGAGAGAAAAATCTTACTATCACCCTTGAATATTAAATTGGGGCTTATAAAGCCATTTGTGAAAGTTTTAATTCGAGATAGAAATTATTTTGGTACTTGTCACGTAAGATTCTGGGATTAGCACGGAAAAACTAAAAGTATATTTGATGGTATATTTGATGGTCCTCAAATTAGGCAACTTATTAAAGAACTATAATTTAGCACATCAATGAATGAGACTAAATCTAACGCTTGGTGTTCATTTGTTTAAGTAGTACAACATTTTCTTGGGAATCAAAGTAGAGAATTATACAGAATTACACCTTCACAACCACCTAGATCGCTTTCCAGAAAATTCAGAGGATTGTAGTGAAGAACAGGGAGAAATATTCCATCAGTACATTAAAACTATGAATGATCGATATCAAGAACGCTGGGATAGCAACATAATGACCGACCACTGTTGGAGCTTTCAGCGGGACTGCCCTAGTAAACTCTATGCTAGAAAGTCGAATAAAAGAAAACTGTCATCCTTCTGTGTTTGTTTTGGTTTAATTTTAATTTTACTTTTATAATAACAAATCTTTCATAATCGATTTACATTTCTTTTTTGTACTTCTATATGTTTTCTTTACTTCTTTATTTTATTTTTGTCTTTACTTCGTTTCCTGTTAAATTTATTTCTTATTTCCTTCTTTGCTTCTTCAATACATAATTTTCTTTTATTTTCTTTCTTTATATTTACTTCTTTTTCTACAATCTGAATCTGCCTTTCTATTACTTCCTTTTTCTTCAGTTTCTACTTTTACCTCTTCTACTTTTTCAATGTCTATACTTATTTCAACTTTCTTTACTTCTGTACTTTACTTCTATGCTTTACTTATTTATTTGATTTATAATTTACATATATTTACTATTTTATTTATTTCTTCACTATTCATTCCTATAATTTCGTCTATTTTCTTAAATACTTCTTCTTTATCTTGTTGGCTATTTTTCTCCGCCTTCTTATTGCTCTCAATCTGATTTCAAATTATATTAATTATTTCTTTCTTATCCTTTCTGTTTTCCTCTAATTTATCCATTTTTTCAAATTTTTTTTTTTAACTTCACTATTGGACCATCTCTCTTTTTTGCCATATACAATCCTATCTTCTTTCATTGTTGTCTCCATCTGTTCTTTTCCCCAGTAACTGTATCTTTTATATTTTCCTCTTCGATATTTCCTTGTGTTGTCTCTTCTACTTCCTGTTCCTCTTATTATCGAACTTTCTTGACACTTTATATCTTTAAAGATTGTTCATCCTTTTTTCTTCTTTTAGTATTATTTAATCCAAATATATAGATTGTTCTCAAATTTGTTACGTACGTCACTGGCGACACCTGTTTTTTAGAAAATACATTATGCACATTATGCACAGTTTTGACATGTGAAGGTACTTTGGGAATTATGCAAGCTGACGAAGAAGATAAGAGTTAAGAGAAATTGCATCCTTACATGTTGTGTTACCTATTTGTCGTCTTTTGTAAATAAGTAATATTGTGTAATAAAAGTTTTGTGTTTAAATAAGAAAAAATACAGTCCATTTAATCGAATTTAAATATAAAAGTAGTTTTATTAATAAACAAACAAACAAACAAACAATTAAATTATATTTCAGGTAATATTTTTATGGAGTGACGCCTTAAAATTTTCATTTGTTGTTTATTTTATTTCTGATACCAGGGTAGAAAAACTTTTTAAGCTACCGAAACAATTTCTGCATTTTTCAACCAGAAGCTATAGCTATTTTAGAAGTAGAGCCTTTCATTAGTCTGCCTGGGATTAAGTCGGCGGCAATTGTCTCGGACTCTATTTTCTAAATAAAAAAAAATTAGTTATTAAAAACGTAGATATTTGCTTTATTGGGGTAAAAGCCTGAATTGGAATTAAATATAACGAATATGTTGATAATATACCCAAATTTGCAAACAAGACAGGCATTGTTAACGAATAAAAATTATACATTTCAGACTCTAATGCTTTTGTCTAACTGAGAACCGCAAATAAAGAATAGAACTAATCGAATTAAATTACCGGTTTTGAGCTTACATTAAATTATAATTAGATGAAACAAAATGGATTCTATGTATTTTGAGGTGATCTTTTCGAAAAAAGGCAAAACAAAATGTAGCAGTTTTTCGAAAGTGCCGAAATTTTGGATTTTGTCAATTTTTCAATTTTGCGCATGCGCATGTCGCAAATAAATCATTATTTTTAAAACGTAGTTTACGACAATTGAAAGCTTAGAAAAAATTCTAATTTTTATGTCTCCTAAGAAATGTTGATCGGATGCACCGTTCTCGCGGTATGGACGATTCAAATTTGTTTAGTATTTTGAGGCGGCGAAGGTCGTAAAAATTGAATTTATTAAATGTTCAAACACTAAATTCTTCATAACTTTGGTAAAAATTAAGATATTTGAAGAAACAAAAATTCGTTTTGAACTTAAGGGATGTGACTATTGATACCCAGAAGGGGGCAAGAGAAATCCCAAAATTGGGCATATGGCGGAAGGGCAAAGTGTACCGCAAGCCTAATTTCATTGTTTGCCTATAACGGCCAAACTATTTAAATTTATTTAATGCCACTTACAGAGCTTACTTTTAAATATGAAGTCTTATACGTGTGTGAATTTTACCGAAATCGGATTATAATTGGCCAAGATATCAAACAATTTATCAAATTTTTTTTCCTAAAAAAAAACTAAATTTTTTTTCGAAAGTTTGAAGTGGCACAAAAATACCAAAAATGCACCCAATGACTCAAAACTTTTTTTTTTTGAATACTCTATTATGTTTAGAATACGATTACATTACGGAAAATTCTGCAAAAATATTTTATCTATTTTTTGACCACTGTTCATTGAGTGACGACCAAAAAACACAGTTTTTGAGAAAAGTTGCCTAAAATTGACGATTTTCAGTTTTTTGGTCTGAAAATTAAGCAAACCCAAATCTCATGTTTTCTCAATGTGTATACAAAGTTTAAAGTGTGTATGTTTCTTCTAAGTTGTAGAATTCTCCCATTATACGCGCTCCGCGGGATCCAAAACTCGTGCATTTCTGTAAATTGATTTTTTTGTGATTTCCCGTTTTAAATTTCTTACATACCTAAATTTATTTGGCCTAAAATTTATTAAATTGTATTTTACTGACTTGTTATAAGACGTTTCTTGAGTTTTGTGCAAAAAATAGAATTAACGCAAAATTAGCCGGACGTCGTATCAAGGATAGTCATGGTCTCGACGTTCGCTATCCGACAAGTTTAAACTTGAAACGGTCATATTATTACAAATTGAATCGCTTGATAGTGTATATCGGCATCGGTATTTTAATAACCGTGTTCAGCAAGCTCTGTGTACACGTGGTTTTTCGGACTTCTTCAGCAATTTATTAAGTAAGTACGTTCTTTAATTAAGAAAATTCTATCACAGTGCTATAATTTTTTTGTTTCCAGGTTGCAATGGCTGGACTGTGTTTATTATGTCATCAGAAACTTGCAGAGGGTGAACTTACCCCAATTAGACCGATAGGATTGAAAGGTCTGCAGATGGTCAGCAAAGAGAGAGGGGATGATTTTTTCAGTTCTTTAGAACCAGGTTTTATATTGCATGAAAGGTGTCGCAAACATAACGTAGCTCGACGTTACGGAAAAGAGTTTATTTATAAAACCTGGAATAGGCATAAAAGGGCCGCGATTGACAATGCCAGAAAAAAAGGAGGATGGAGCATCAACCGAGAAGAAAACCAGATGTTAGAGAACAAAAAACAAGGTTGGAACTTACATTCAAGCTTAGGATTAATTTCCTAACATTTTTAAAGTATACCTTCTTGTATATTTTTTTGTGCTCTTTCCGATGGCGCAGTTAGTTTCTTTAAATATATTTTTTGTTACATGTTTTCGGAAAACCCGGAGAAAATCATATGGGGAAAAATTAAAAAAAAATTACGACTTCCGGTTTTCTGCGAATTCCCGAAAAATTATGGGATATTTCGCCGCGGGACTTATTTTATTTGTGAGTCCACAAAAAAATACGCAACTTCTCTCATGGGCACATATGTCTAACATTTATAATTTCGCCACAAATTCATCGCAAATTTCATGTTCATGATTCTGATCAAAGAAACGAAAAAACAACTTTTTGGTAAAAGCACTTCTGGCGGCGAGAAATTCGCCATTAAAACTACCTATGCAATGAAATTCCGAATTATTTTTGCCTCCTCTTTCGAATGGTGCATTTAATTTTACTATCAGAATGATACTTGCCCAGATAATTAGCATTTTTACCATGGAAAATTCCGGAAAACCCGGTTTGTCCTAATTTAAAAAAAATTGAAAAACTGCTACATCATTTTTTTCTTTTTTTTTTCGGAAAGATCACATCAAAATACACAAGGTCCACTTTGTTTTATTCAATTACAAATTAATGTAAGCTCGAAGGGGCTTTTTTTCGTTATTTAATTGGACTAAACATAGACATTTTTGTAAAATTCATCGTTCAATATTAAGCTCTCCTTGGTTAAAAACGTGTAATATTCCAAGGCGTTATATAACTGCCTTATTAATTAGAATGAGGTTAGATCACGCATATTACCACAAACATTTATTTAGATTTAATTTAAAAAACGGCGACCCCTGCGACCACTGTGTGCAAACTGGTCATTTCAATCATATCTTCATTTAATATAATAAATATAAGGATAAATGCAATATGTTACATAATAATCTAAACACTAACAACGTATCTGCACCGCTTGGCATTGAAACAATACTGTAACTTTAACGATAATGCAGTTATGTCTTTAGTGGACTTCTTAAAACTTTCTGCAATTAATTTGTCTATAACTAATATATGATTAAACTCGTACTCTTTTTTACACCTGTCTCCTCATTCCTTTCTACCGAGTATTAGTTTTGTTGTTCTTGAAAAAAAGAAGTCCTGGTGAACTCTTAGGCGAGAAGAGAATGTTATTGTATTTCTATCATGTTTCTCTTTCCTTAGTTAGTAACAAAGGTGTAAGAAAAAAAAAACTTTAGAAAAGGAGGTCTCCTTTTATAAAGTAACAATATTAGTTAGTAAGGGTCTACTAGACTTTTTCTGATGAAATAGAAGTTTACCTAACAAGTGCGGAAAGTGATACTTTACCGCACGCGATTACAGAGTTCGGCCAGCAATTGCGTGCGGAAAAGTCACTTTACGCACGTGTTAGGTACACTATTTTTTTACTAGCGTGCGGAAAAAACCCTAAAGTTACCATAAAGAAATATTTATTATTAAATACATATTAACAAATTAATTATTCTTAATATTAATATTGAACGTGCAATTTGTAGCATTCTGCAAATTAATTGAAGTGGCTAAAATGTTTTCCAATAAGTCAGATTTCGGTTTTCCACTGCTTTGTCAGCACTAATTGTTGCAACTGTGGCGATGGAAACTTGACTGGAAAAGGTTATTTTGGAAGGCTTTACTGGTGACACCTGCTGACTAGTGGAAGAGCCAGCGACAGCGTCATTGAAGTTTAATATTTTATTCGATAGGCCCTTTTGGAAACTTAATGAGCTTTCTACATAACCTTCTGCGACGCTAGAAGATTTACAACCTCCGGGGCGTTCAATATTTGTTATTCCTTCTCCGGAGTCTGCAAGCATTGTGGCGGCGGAAAGTCGAAAACTGCGACTCGTATATAATTCAGGATTTGGAAGCTTCAGATAAATTGCAATCTCTGATGGCATTTTTTCGAAGGTGTTTGTTCCGATACATTGTACAGTGCAAGTTCCTTTCTTATATTTCACGAAAAATCGCTTATGTGGGGTTTCAGGCTTTCTTAAATTCACATACTTTCTGAACAAATTGAGCAATTTTCCATTTTCAGCTTCCTCAGAAATCGCAAAGCTTCAGAGAGAGTGGTTTTTTGTGTCTGGGATATTTATCAATAAAATATTTCCTTTGTCATCAATATGATCTAAATCTTTGTTAACTCTTCTCGCCTACATGCGCCCGCCAAACCAAAAATCGTAGCGACTTTTATATGAAGATAAATTTTGTCAGGCGCTTCATTAATAAACTTAAAAATTTCTTCTTTTGAGAAAAGTTTTGCCTTTTTGGTCTAAATTTAATGTTTTGTTGTTTTATATAAGTCGTGACCTTGAAAAACTTGCTTAAATCGACGTATTTTATGAGTTTAATTACACTTTTTAACAGAGTACCTGGATCAAAGAGTGTTTGGCTTGCATGTTATGGAAATTTCAGCGAAATAAGCCTAAAAAACGTCTTCTTTAAAAGTTTAAATTCCCTTATTCTGACACCAGTTTTCAAACAAAATATATTCCTTTTCATACCTATAACGGGATTTTGATGGTAGTAGATCCAAGTTTGCAGTTCTAGCCGCTTCCAAAACTGACTCTGGCAAATCTTCGTCTGAAGAATTCCATGAAAAATTATCTTCTAGAAAAAGATGCGACGGTAAAATTGGTTTTGATAAAGTCACAGTTTATAGCTAAAGAATCAGTTTGCTCACTCTGCGTCGGCACTTTTGATCTCAATGTTCCAGTTTATACATTGCGAAACTCGGATTTGTATCCCTTAACTAGGTTACTTGAAAATTTTTTGTGATTTTTTAATATTAATTTCTCAATAAGTTCCACGGTTTACTATATATATTTTAATATATAAAACAAAATCTAAATATTTCAAAAACCTAATTTTTAGTTTTTTTCTACTCCATCTAATCAGTAAATAATAGTATAATTCGAGAATTGTTGTTGAGGACTTACTTTCTCGTGAGGCACTGTACAAATACTCACATTAAAAAA